TAGGTTTTTGTAGATTTTTAGTAGATTATGAAAAAGCAAGTTCAATACTGTTTATTTTGATTATTATTATTATAATTTTTTAAAAAAAAAAGATTTTTGCAGCAAAGTATCACGTTAACTCGTTCGCCACACATATGAATTGATCGACAAAGGAGTATATTCGATTTCCAAATTTGGTAATAATCCTTCCTGACTGTATTATTATTGATTTATTTGCATATTAATATATGCATAAATTTTTTTATTTATAGTGCAAGGCACCTAATCCTGCAACTTACTGCACCTTGATGACAGATTTGAGAAAAAACTTCCCAATCAAAAATGTCTATGAATATGGTTCAACATTCTATTTTACCTTGATACAATACTTGATTTTGAGAGCTTTCTAAACACTGCAAGGTGGGGAACATTGATGAGTTCTCTATATCCTCAGTCTGTTCTTTGTCTGATGGGTAGTTTGATAAGCATCAAAAATTCTGGTCTGTCAGAGTCTACAAATCAGCCTGTCTGATGGATTGGAATCAAGATGTTAATGCTGCATGTAACATAAGGAACATTTTTTGCACACAAATACTTCTAGGAAAAGCCCTGAACCGTTTTATAAGGATGAGTTACTGACCTCTTTGCTGCCATTTTAATTGTGACAGGATATGTCTGGGCTGATGGCAGCAGAGCAATGATGATGGATGACTTTCTGATTTAGTGTAACGTTAGAAAGATGAGATGAAACTAACCAATTAGAAATCACTCATTATCGAATTTTAAAAATTTTTAAATAATGTCTAAATATATACCACCACAACTTCGTAATAAAGATATAACATCGGTTATATCAGAAACTGAAAAGGCCAAACAAGAAAAACAAATTAAATTACAAAAACAATTACAAGGTCTTTTAAACAGGTAATATTATTAATAATAATTATTATTATAGTTTTAATATATAATAAAAATCTTACTTTTTTCTTAAACAAAAAAAAACAAAAAAGTTATTGGGATTGAACTTTTGTCACAAAATCTTCTTCCAGCAATAGTAGAGTTAGCTGAAGATAAACAATGGCGTGTTCGCCTCGCTATTATTGACTATATTCCATTACTTGCCAGTCAATTAGGTGTTAATTTTTTTAATGATAAATTGGGAGCCCTTTGTATGTCATGGTTAGGTGATAGTGTATATTCTATACGTGAGGCAGCAACTATAAATTTAAAAAAATTGACAGAAGTTTTTGGTGTTGAATGGGCAAAAAGTACAATCATACCTGAAGTATTATCATTTGGAAATAATTCAAATTATTTATACAGAATGACTACTATTTTTGCTATTACGGTGAATATATAGACCTTTTTTTTTGTGGAAAAAATAACCTTGCACAATTAACTAACCAACCAATCTTTTTAATTAGACAATTGCACCTGCAGTTACGCCAGAAGTTATCAGAGATTATATTCTTCCAACAGTGAATCATCTTGTATT